CAGTGCTGAGGCCATCCATAGAGGCAGGTGTTTATGTAATCTTATTTTACACAGTTTGTCCAGTAGCTCATTTCACTGAAGTGAGCAAGAAGGAGAAATAATATGCTTAATAAGTTAACCATTCTGCTACTTTTAATCCTTATGACATACTTGAAATATAGGCATTTATTATTCACATCTTGGTGCCCAAGGAAACTGAAGCTTAAAGAAGTTAAGAAAGTTTCCTAAGGTCGGTAAGAAACTGAGAAGATTTGAATTTAGAGTTTTCTGCTTTCAATACAGTTGATACCCTTACTCATCCACATGGGCTTGGAGGTAGTCCAAATCTGGAAGACTCCTTTCTATCAACTTGTAAATCTCAAGCAAGAGCCCCCAACAAAGGTCTGACGGTACCATACTGTCGTCAGCCCAACCCTACTGCATCTCTCCATCTTATGAGCTCTTCTGTCTTCCTGTCTCCTTCCTCAGCAAACAAACTTGTCATAAGCTCAGCCTGTGATCAGTTTTCCTATCATCTCAAATGTGGGTTCATCACCCAAACTGGTGATGTCTGGCTATGCAACTTGGCCAAGCCTGACATTTCTGAACTTAATTTACCTGTCTGCAAATAGAGACTAACAATTATTCACATTAATATACATTGTCCAGGTACATCCCCATTTCCATGGTTTTATTTTGGCTTTAGGGAATTTAATTAATTAATTGCTTTAGAAGTAGCTCAGTTCATGTAGTTTGTTCTCACATCTCTATGAAGTAGTCACGTTTTTATTTCCATTTTAAGAACTGGGAAACTAAGATTAAGTAGTTAATTCTTCCAAAGTTACATATCTGCAAAGTGAAGGAGCTTGTTTGAATTAAGTACTCAAACACACAGCACTACCTTCTACAAAGAAGGATAAAGTGTCCTTGTTTTTCATGGAACAAAATCTAAAGCCTGTGAGTCAAGTTCACGACCACATTCACACATCAGCAGAAGAAGTTTAAACACAAAGGTGTTTAAACACAGAGGTGGACTTTAAGGATGTGGCTCTTACGACAAAAGCTTATGTCTCTCTTCAGACTTACAAGAATGGGGAGACTCAAAGGTTCAGTGCTGCTCATGCCATGAAATAAATTCTGTTTGGATAAAGCCTCCAGTCACAGCTCCCACTGTCTGCGAATATCTGGAGGCTACCCAAGACCTTCCTCAAGCAGTCTTGTCTTCTGTGGTCCTTGTCCACTGAGTGAGCCTGCTGGCTCTATGCCCACGACTGCTTCTGGGATTTATGGCCAGGGCTGCCCTCACGACTGTGGGGAAGCCCTCCCACAGCCTCCTTACCCTGCACTGTGGCCTGAAGCCTGAGCACCTGCCTTTTTCAGAAGGCATTGCTCCCTACTGGCAAGGTGCCCATCGTGGGTGACAGGGGCCAAGGCCACTGTAGGAAAGGAATGAATAGAGAGACAACTGGATTCTGTGCCCTCATTTTGGCAAAGAAAAATGAGAATTTGAGTCCCAGTGACCAGCCCCGGAATCTTTAAGGGAGTTTAGATTTTGACTTGGCCCGGAGTAACCTACTGTTGGATCTGCTGGTACCACTGTTGCCAAAAAGCCCAAGAATGACCTGGAGCCCTCTCCCAGGGAGCTGTCTGGCCCCAGAAGCCTCTTGGATGTGCAACCGGGAGGCTGTGTTCTTCAGGCAGTGTGCATCTCTCCAAAAGGCCAGCTGAGGCTGGAAGGAGAGCTCGGGAAAAACAGCGAGCTCCCAAGAGTTGATGGTTGTGTTTTATGCTCCAGCGTTCCCTTCTCCCTTCCTTCAACTTTCTCTTTTCTCTCCCATCATTGAATCAGTAAATTTCAGGTCCAGAAATCAGGCACACAAGCTTAAATATCATATAGCTTCTCTTATGTGAGAAACCTGAAGTATTAGTAAATTAAAGAGCAAAATACAAGATAGATAATAGGAAAGAGGGAGATAGATCTTCTGAAGAAGAGAAAGAGACCAAGAGATGGAGGAAGCGTGGAAGAAGAGAATGAAAAAAGAATTAAGATGTGTTATGTACATGTACCAACTCCCCACAATGAATGTAATCACTGTATATTGCAAACATAAACTAATAAAAATGTAAACTAGCTTGCCTTATAATTAGCTTGTGACTCTAGGAAAACTACCTAAACCCTCCCTGACTCAGCTTTGTCTTTATCTATATAAGATGATAAATCTTTGCAGTTTCTTTTTTTTTTTTTTTCCTCTCATTGAGTTCATTGGTACATTTTGGGCATACAGTACAGTTACATTCATCATTGGGATCTCATACCTTTACATGACAGGTCTTGGTTCTCATTTTTTCCCCTTGTCCCTGCCTTCCCTTCAACCCCTCTTCCCTCCCCTATTTACAAATACTTTATTTCCATTTTTTCCTTTTCTCATATTTTTTCTTTTCCTTTATTACCTTTCCCCTATCCTTCCCACTTTCCCTACACCTTTAGCCCTTTTCTTCCTATTTTACATTGTCTATTATATCATTAGGATCTTATGGTGCATTATAGTTTTTCACACCACAGAAATATTCAGTATTTATACATGTGTGACTTATTTATTTCACTTCGGAGTAAATCCTCAATATGTATCCATTTTCCTACTTTGCAGTTTCTAAGAATAAAAAATAGCGGGAACTGAATTCCCAATATTTATTTATTTAGTTTTATTCATTAAGTTTATTGGGACATTTTAGGTATATAAGATGACATCATTGGGAATTTGTAACCTTACATGATGTATTTTGGTTCTTATTTTTTCCCCCATTTCCCTGCCCTGTCTTCCACCCCTCCACTCTTCCCTATTTATAAAGACCTTGTTTCCATGTTTTCCTTTTCTCATGTTTATTCGTTTCCCAATATTTAATATTGACACTTTAGTATTTCTGTTACATGGTATGGTAAAGAAACTAGATAAGGAATTTTCCTTATGTCAGATAATACTAGGTCTTTTACTGCAGATTGAGACTTTTAGGAATAAGTCCTTAATTAAGGTTCAAAAGCTTTTAGTAAAAATGTACTTGTATTAGAAGTGTGGAAGAATATGACAGAATTGGTGAAAGGATTGGTTTCACGGTTACCTCTCTGAGTGTAAAGCTCTCTCTGTCCTTCTGGGTCTCTCTAGGTCCCTGCCTATATGTCAGTGTTGTCTTTTATCTGTCACTAAACAACATATACACACTTGCGCACCATACTCCCTTAGGTGTCCCTTAGGACACCATACTCCCTGAAGAGTGGGAAATGATAAGTTAATTGCCCAAGCTCTTGAGACAGCAAGAACTTCTCTGTGATGATGGATGGGCTCAGGGCCCCTGTCAGTAAAGACTCTTTTGGTCAATGAAGCTGACCATGGGGACATGTTGGAGGAGAACTAGTATGACAAGGGCAGGTTCCAGGGCAGGCTGGTGTCAGAAGTACCTTGTGAGTATTTCATTGTTCCGGGTTACAGTCTATTTGCACTGTACCAAGCTCTGTATTTTCCTGCCATGTGATGTCTGGTGTGCTCTAGACACACAACAGATAACCACATCCTAAAACGGGATAATCAGAAGCCCAGCTATCCAACCCAGGGAACTTTGCAAGGTCAAAGAGGAGGATATTAATGCAAAATGCAGAAGATAATTAAGAGGCTGTGTATTCAAAATGTTCAAGGCTAATTATTTGAGCATGCTTCTCGATTGAGAATGAAGGATTGGAGGGAGGAGAAAGAAAAGGAAAGCAAGCCTCTTATCTGAAGTTGGAATCCTTCCCTGAAGAAGCACACATCTGGAATTCATTCCTTGCAGCAGTGAGCCACACTCTCTCCGAACCTGCCTAGGCGCTGCACATTTGTGACTGAGCGCAGCCTGTGTTTTGCAAGGGACAGAGAGAATTATCCGGCAAATATTCTTACCAAAGTTAGTTTTCAAGCTGTGGCTCATAAATATACAGTATTTCAGTGAAAAAGTACAGAATGTCCTCCTGGGGTCGACAACCAAATAGTTTCATAAATAATCTTCTTGACACGTGCAAGATGTTAACATTTTTGAGGTTTTGGGCAGGGGCGGATGCAGATGTAATTGCTCGTTTCAGTTTGGAGCCACAACTGGACTTGAATGTTACCTCCTGGGGCCCCTGGAAATGTTTTTCTTGGCTTCAGAGTCCTTATGTTGCTTGTCAGCAGTGAGGACAAAGGCTTCTCAGAAGACTCTGGGCCAGGGCAGAGCGCTGCACAGGTGTCTAACCAGAGCAGCAGTCCACAGGGGACATCAAATAAAGGGCAGTTCCTTATGCAGGAAGAAGCTAGGCTGAGCCAAAGTACTGACTGTTATAGAAGTGGTGAGTGCCTAGCCTGGGGGATGTTTGCATAAAAAGGTGAGAAAGTTGCAGAGAAAGTTCCTATCTTGATAGTTTCTTTCTTTCTTTCTTCTTTTTTTTTTAATAGCAAACTTTGTTGGGCCTCGGATTTAGCTCAGTGGTTCCACAGGGATCCAAGTTCAATCCCAGGTACCAAAGGAGAGAAAAAAAAAAAAAAACCCAAAAAAACCAAAAAACAAATATTGGACAGGTTCCAGAGTGGGCTAGATCAAACACTGAAGTTTATGGAGATTTTAGCACAACTGCATCTTTAAATAGGGGGTAGGACACATTGAGGTTTATAAAAAATGTTTCACACTGATACTGCCATGTTGCTAGAACCCGAGCTTAGCTACATGCTGAGTTTCATCTGGATATAATGAATGATGTGAGCTTCGTAATTATCATTTATGTGGTGTGTTAAAAGTTTTCCACCACTGAACCCCCCATCTACAACTGTAGTTTAACTCCAGAATAGCCCTGTGGCTATGATCCAGGGTGGATCTGGATCATTTCCATTTTAGAGATGGGAATGTAGAAGCCAGGTGAGAAAATAACTGACTAGGACTTCCAGGTAATAAATGTAAAGACAAGGATTTGAATTTAAGCCTTGGCCTGTTTTGGCCATGTGTATGTTGAGTCTGAGTTTTGGCAAGGGAATCCATTTACTACAGAACACATAGTTTATAGGGTTATTTATGATAATTACTCAAAAAGTCAAATGCAAAGGAGTGCAACAGATTAACCACACACTAGGGGCCCAAGAATCCAGCTTGGGGCCTTGTTCCCAGCAATGTCCCCTGTAATCCCAGCTAAAGGCTTAGAGCCTGAGGCAGTGTCCTCCATGAGTTTAGCCAATGTCCTAGAGCCCATAACAGTGTCTCATGCTTGTCCGTATTGAGGATCTGCACCTGGAGGGAGGCCCGTGGTACAAGTCACAAAACCCATGCCAGTGAGATGAAGGACCTGTGCCACCAAGCTGAAGAATCCACACTGGGACCAGGAAGCGATGCTCACAGTGAAGATCAGACATCCCTGATAAAAGCAGCAGCCATTCCCAGAGACAGCAAGGTCCTGAGCTCCTCCTTCGATGAGAACAGCCTACTTTGCTTCAGGAAAAGCAGAAAGCTTCTCCTAGACAATCAACAGGCTGTGATCTTCGCCTCCAGTTCACTTTTTATGGCTATTGGTAACAATCCTCAGGTGTTTCAGTTCAGCTGGACGTTACAAGCTATTAGTTAATCTGCTGCAGTGTGTTAGCAAGTGGTTGGTTTATCCGACATCCTAGAAAAGTAGAGAGCAGGACCTGAAGGAAGTGAGTGCTGGGACAGAAAGATTTTAATGGGGAACAAGAAGAGAAAGCCCTGGGTATGTGAGGACTCTGTTTCAATGGGAGAAGATCAACAGTATCCAACTTTTATTAGGCCTTAACCAGGCACTGAGAGGATGACCAGTCACACCAGCTTTCACACATTACCTTCTGGTGCTGACAGTAGTGGTAGATACAGTATTGTCATGGTTTCTGAGGTATGAGAAGGGTATTTGCAACTCCAACTTAAAATATATCAACAGATCACATAGCATCCTGCTTCTAAAGGTGTTTCTAAATTCGCCAGGAAGGCAGGAACTTAAAATTTTAAAGTAGGGTAAGAAATCTCTCTGTCCTCTCATTTGCTAGCTATATTGTCGTTCAGTACAGTGACTAAAAAGGTCTAAATCAGTTTTCAGTGGAAATTATTGATAAAAATAATAGCAATAACCACCATTAGGACAAAAAGGGAAAGTAGCAGGGGTACAAGCTCAGTAGTATAGGTTTATTTCAGAACAAACCTGAGAGGTACTGCTCTGGCCCTAGAGATCAGACCAGTTAACTCTCACACAGGCTATAAGGTTTTTATGGGATCAGAAGCATAAAAGTGGGGTGGTGATGTGGGAGGAAAAAGTCAAAATGGGATTCCTAGGAGGAGAGCTAAGTACACAGGAGATGTAGCTGTTCACCCAGGTCTGGGCTTAAGGATGTACAAGGAGTTGTGTGTTTTATGTGAAGAGCAGAGCTGAACAACTGGGAAATTACAGGGTGTAGCTCTGCCTACTGGGCCTTATCAACCCTCAGTGTTACATGTGCATCGGGTATAAAATCATAGCAAAGGGAAGAGATTTAAAGTAGTCTCTGCTTAGACCAGGATGGTGGTTGTTGGAATCCTTCATTCGAGCCTTTGTGGTTAGGTAAGGAAAAATGGGTGGTACATCTCTTTCTTAACTGCTTCCTGCTGATTAGGAGGTGGTGGTGGTAGTGGGGTTGTCTGGACTGAAGAAGGAGAACCATACTGATGTGGGCCTTAGCAACCACCTGTGAAATGGCGGTAATCCTGCTGGTGAGAAATCTTTGAAATATTGAATAGACATGGCAATAGTAGGTGAGTAGAAAGAGGAGAGTAGGCATTGCAAAAGGAAGAATCCGAGATAAGACAGTGGACTTCCATGAATCCCATGAAATTTGCAGGGTGTCCTGAGACATTTGTTATACTACCTGGACCTTGGTGTCTATTTCCTGGAGAGATGTAGTTACCTCACAGTGGTTATCTGGAACAAAAGTATAGCATGTTGTATGAAACACGGCGTAAGTGTTCCTCTGGGTAGACTTTGTGTGGGGGTGTGTTAGTTACTTTTATCTTGTTGATGAGACAGAATACCCGACACACAAAGCTGGAGGGGAAGGGGTTCATTTGGCTTACAGTTCGTAGAGGTTTCAGTCCATAGCAATCTGACTCTAAGGCAGGGTAGATGGCAAACAGGCATTGCTGAGGAGAAACGACATGGTGTGTGCACAGGTCAGCAAAGACAACAAGAAGAATTTAGCAGAAGTCTCCCAGCCCCTTTTATCTTATTCAGACTGCTTATGGCTCGTCTCACTCACACCTTTAATCCTAGTGTCTTTGAACCTAGCATGTCATCATGCGTCAATTCCAGCTTTACACCCTCTACATCAAGCCTATGACCACATGAGGCTTTGACGGGAGATCTAGACCCAAACCATAATAGGGGTCAGTGGATCCCAGTCAGTTTTTGGTTTTTTTTTAGATGGGGACTCACTATGTAGTTGAAACTGACGTGGAACTCACTGTGTAACCCAGGCTGGTCTTGAACTCACAGTGATCCTCCCGAGTGCTGGGATTAAAGGCATGAGCCACCACGCCCAGCTGATCCTAGTCACTTTTATCTTTGGTTCCATTTGCATGATCACTGAGAGTTTGGCAGTCTCTAGGTTAGAATAAACAAAGTTTATCAGGAGAGTAAAGCACATATGAACAGAGCATGAGCACCAGAATGGAAAGGCAGATGAGGAAGGAGTCCTGTCCAGACATTGTTCTTTTTTTTTTCTTTTATTGATTTTATTGGTACATTTTACATATACAGTACAGTTACATTCGTTATTGGGATCTTGTACCTTTACATGACATGTGGTCTTGATCCTCATTTTTTTCCCTTGTCCCTGCCCTCCCTTCACCCCCTCCTATCCTCCCCATTTATAAACACTTTATTTCCATTTTTTTCATTTTCTCATATTTTTCCCCTTACGACCTTTCTCCTACCCTTCCCACTTTCCCTATGCCTTTAGCCCTTTTCTTCCCATTTTACAACGTCAGGTATCTCATTAGGATCTTGTGTACTCTTACAGTTTATTCACACCAGAGAAACTATTCGGTATTTACACGTGTGACTCATTTATTTTACTTAGGAGTATATCCTCAAAATGTATCCATTTTCCTATGAATGACTCTAATTTCTCATTCTTTATGGCTGAGTAGTGTTCCATTTTATAGAAAAACCACAACTTCTTTATCCAATCTCCAACTGATGGGCAAATGGCCTGTTTCCAAGTTTTAGCTATTACAAACTGTGCCGCTATAAACATGGGTGTGCATATATCACTCTGGTATGATTCTTTTAATTCTTTTGGAAAGATACCCAGAAGAGGGATGGCTGGGTGAAATGGAACCTCTAGTCCAGCTCTTTGAGGTATCTCCTTATTGATTTCCATAGTGGTTGCCCCAGTCTGCACTCCCACCAACAATGGAGAAGGGTTCCTTTTCTCCCCACAACTCTGCCAACATTTGTTATTGGTTGATTTCTTGATAGCAGCCATTCTTTGTGGAGTGAGGTAGAATCTCAGTGTTATTTTCATCTGTATCTCTCCAATGAACAGTGATGTAGAACATTTTTTCACATATTTACTTGCTGCTTTGACTTCTTTGTCTGAGAAATGTCTGTTTATTTCAGATGCCCATTTTTGAATCGGGTCTTTATATTTGCGGGGGCTCAGACATTGTTCTTAAGGAACTAAAATAGCAGTTGTAACCAGCTGGCTTCTAGACCTATCTGTAGCTAGAAACTCAGCAGGGGTCAGTAATATGAGCTATTGTTTATGTTGACCCTATGTTACTGTTATTTTAATATGTTCTGGGTCATATCTTTTTGCTGAGTGCTTAAGACCAAGTTAAAGTGAGATCTGTGTTAATCAAAATTAACCTTTTGCTCTCTACCAGAGTTAGTCAAGTTTCCTCAGGCATTGCTTTTGAAACCGTGTGAAGAGCCTCTCAGCTCCTCTGTCAGTGTCAACCTCTAGAATGTGGCTTTCCATGCAGGCATGTCTGGTGACCCTTCTTTTAGCATTCTGTATACTGATTGATTCCTGTCTTGGGGGTCCAACAATCTCTCTGTCCAGGAGGTTGGACTTACCAAAGTTGTAGGATCCTGTAGAAAAGTTCTCCTCATGTCTTGGGTCCTTGTTGATCTTAAAGGACTAGGGTCCAAATATTGGCTGTTCTCTTAGCCTGGTTATGTTTCTAGCTTTGGTTTCTAAACTTCAGTTGTTTAACATCAGTGAAACCCGTATTGTAGTGGGAGCAATAGGTTTAATCTTATGATTTTGATATAAACCACATTAATTATATATATACGAATGCCCAGGGAACTATTATTTCCTTACCAATTGTGGTGTCTTAAAAGTTGAATCCCTGCAGAATATTGATAGATGAGACTTATAAAGCTTTATAGAAGACTTGAGAACATAACATTATAGCATAACAATCATGATGACAGCAGTATATTAAATGACATGAAGAAACTTTTGCTTAAATTTGTCATCCTTCAATTGAATGCCATCTAACAAGAATGCACCTGTCCGTAGATGTACCTCGTGGGACATTGCCTGGACAGCATAATATTTGAATGTCTCTAAGTACTGAACGTGTACATAACATACACAGAACAATGCTGGCTGCCCCACGATGGACTGGCATGCACAGCTAGAAAACAGGTGAAGAACAGCCCAATCTTTGAGCCTATAGGTTTACCACCATAAATAACTTTGGTCTGGAAGTCACCAGTTTTTTTAGTTTTGCATCTTTGAAAACCTGTATATTTGGGAAACAGATGCATTTAATACACCAAGAAGTCAACAGCAATGAGTGTCACAAACCAGGTTGAACTGTCTAAAGATAGAGCTCTAGCCTCCTTCTTCTCACGGACCAGTATAGGTGTGTCTGTTAGTTTTGCAAAAAACTGATGTCCAGTATCAATTTTAGAAAGCCTTTGTCTGAAACACTAGTTAGACCAGAGAGAAGAGTTGGGACCTGGGGAGGGTGTTCTTGAGTTGTTATGTGGTTTAATTTGACTGGCTGCCAACTGACTCCAAATAGCCTTAAATGGCGAAATTATTTTAGTACCAGCAGAAAGCAGAAAGAAGAGCAAGTTAACCCTGTAATTGTGGTCTCATAATTTACAATGTACAAGAAGTATTTTAAGGACATCAACTAACCAAATATATCCACTTAAATTAGAGGCCAAATGTAAATTTATCAATTTTTGTTTTCCTAGGTGTAAGTTTTTTTATTCTCCTTTTCCACCTGATCCCTGTGAGTGAGTTTTTAAATGTTAGAAATTCATTTGTTTATTTAGACTTGGATGGGATTCTAGAGGCAGTGAAAGTGAGGCTTTAATAAGTTTGGCTCTTCTGAAAACCTGTATAAACAGCTTTCTATGGAAATCTCAAAAGGAGCCAAAAGAAGAAAAAGAAATGGTTGAGCTTAAAGCAGGTCCTTGACCCTTTGTAAAAATACCGATGGAAGTTTCTTTTTTTCCTGTTTAATCTGTCCCAGTTTGGGATAATTTACTGACTTGACTTTTGCTGTGTTTACGCCTTCCTTTTTATAAAATAGACAAATAGACCCAGTTGGCATATAGTATTGTAATGTAGAGCCTCCTTTTAGGGCCTAAAAAATAGACTTTTAGGCCAAATATTCCCATTTATTTATTTATTTTCCTCATTGAGTTTATTGGTACTTTTTAGGTTTACAGTACAGTTACATTTACCATTGGGATCTTGTACCTTTACATGGTATACCTTGGTTCTTATTTCGGAATATTCCCTTTTAAATGGAGAAGTGAAAGAATATTTAAAAGGCAACTCAAAGGGTTATCTGCTGGAATGTGAGAAATTTGGGTGCCTGTAGTGACTGATAAGAGGGTGGCTGGGAGTGCATAGCCCTGTGTTGGGGCGTTTTCCCAACGCAGGAGTAGGGACCTGGAGATCTCTAGTGGACATGGCCCGGCCATGTCAGAGAAGACTTTTCTGTGTGATTGGACAGGTGTTCTATCTCCAATGTCTTTGGAAGCCCACTGCAGATTCTGGCCCTGTTAGACCTCCTGGGAATCTGGGATGGTCCTATGCTTCCAAGCAGGCCTAGGGGGAAGATAGGGGCCAATCTTACCAGTCTTGGGCTGGATAGTGAAGTGTCCGGTATTTAGTGGAAGGTTAGCAGGAAATGGGAAATTCCCTCCTGGAGCTGGTAAGGAACAAGCGCAGAAAGAGAGGGACAGGAGGGGCCGAGTAGGTCACAAAAGGAAGAGGTGGGGGACATTGGGGTAGTCCCCTCGACCTCTTCCACATGTTGGGCACCAAATGTTAGGACAAAAAGTAAAAGAAGCAGGGGTATGAGCTCACAGGATAGGTGGTCTCTGCTTAGACCAGGATGATGGTGGTCAGATTCCCGTAACCACTGTCCTGAGTGCTGAGCTTATACATCGGTTCTAGCGTTAAGGAGTTGATATGTGGAAACAGTTTATTGAGTGGGCTGAAGTCAATGGGAGCACAAATAAGAAATGGATTTCTTTTCTCCTCTAAATGCTGCACTCCCAAATGCTCCATAGATACCCTTGTACAATTTGATGACATCTTGGATTAATCCATGCTCTTTCTCACCAGGTTAGGTTAACAAGAACTGTTCTGGTCACTCACACTCAGTTTCAGGTATTAGATGGTCACTTGGAGACTGTATCAAAACTTCAACCCCCCCAGTCCCAGTTAAAATCCCCCCAGCTTCTAACTTGGGCTCCTGGGGTCTGTAGTGAGTAAGGGAGGGGAGCAAGAGATCTCTTTTTTACTTTCCCATCTCTGTGGCTGGTTCCTTCAGAATTGGGGTAAGGGGTGAAGGTTAAAGAAAAAAGGATTCTTTTACACAAATAATGCAGTTGGCCATCAGTGTTCTCTTTAGGAGAGATGCCCTCTTGCTAGGTCACGTGGCTGCACATGCAGATTCCCAGACCCCTGCATGAATGTTCAGGCTGATCTTTTATGGCAACTCCTGGCACCTGTCCTGGTTGCCCACTCCATGTATCTTATTTCTGGGGGCCGACAAGGAAGGCTCAAACTGTGTGGGCTTCCTCTTAGTCCGTGGGAAACTCATGTCTTTTCTTGCCAAATGAGAGT